TGTGATCCTTAAGTGTCTTTCCAGACATGCATCATGTGTTGTGACTTCTTCAAGTATTTGGAAGTGCCGGGAGACAGAAGCTGGAATCAACATGGGCAAGTGCGACAGGAGACAAGTAAGTCCAGAAAGTGTCACCGAGGTACATATTCTTCTTAAGTAGCCAGTAGTTATAGGATGCTTGGTCTTTCTCTAGCCCGAGATCGGAGATTTGTTTTAGGAATACCCATTGCTTGGGGAGCTTGGGGAGCTCCGTCGCGTAAGCATCTGAAACTGGATTTCAGTTCAGGTCATGATCCCTACCTTTGTGAGTTCAAGTCCCCTGTCTGACTCTGTGCTGACAGGGGGGAACCTGCTTGAGATTCTGTCTCTCTTTCCCTCTCTCCGCCCTTCCCCTGCTCCTGCTCTCTCTCTCCCCAAACGAATAAATAAATTTTAAAAAAGAAGGCCTGTCATTATAGGATGGCTTCAAGATCTATTTCTCACTCTCTTTGTCTTGATTCATTTTCCTTTGCCCATAAATGATTTCATTGCTTCCTATAACCAATTATGTTACAATGCAGAAAATCATTATTCTCAAGTGTGGTCAGGGTAAAAATATTGTGGTTAAAGCTCTATCTAAGTATCTTCATATCCTGAAACTCATCAAAATATGATTTTTTTTACAAGTAGTTTATTGTCAGGGTGGTTTCCATATACCACCCAGTGCTCATCCCCACAAGTGCCCCTCTCCGTGCCCATCTCCCCGCTCCCCCCACTTCCATCAGTCCTAGTTTTCTTCTCAGCATTCAAGAGACTCTCATGGTTTGCCTCTCTCCCTTTCCCCCACCACTTCCCCCCTTGTTCTCCCCCATGGTCCTCCGTTAAGTTCCTCGTAATCCTCTTATATGTGCAAACATACGATATATGTCCTTCTCTGCATGACTTATTTCGCACAGCATAACACCGTCAAGGTCCAACCAGATTGCTACACGTGGCCAGATTTCATTCTTTCTCCTTGTCATGGAGTATTCCATCCTATAGATCTCCCACATCTTCTTGATCCACTCGTCCGTTGATGGACACTTAGGCTCTTTCCATGTTCTGGCTATTGTTGAGAGTGCTGCAATGAACATTGGGGTCCATGTGCTCCTATGCCTCAGCATTTCTATATCCCTTGGGCCAATTCCTAGCAGTGCTATTGCTGGGTCATAGGGGAGTTCTGGTGTTAACTTTGTGAGGAACCTCCACACTGTTTTCCAGAGGGGCTGTAGCAGTTTGCATTCCCACCAATAGTATAGGAGGGTGCCCGTTTCTCCACATCCTCGCCAGCATCTCGAATTCTCTGATTTGCTCATTTTAACCACTCTTGCGGACGTGAGGTGGTATCTCAGTGTGGTTTTGACATGTGTTTCCCTGAGGAGGAGGGTTGCTGAGCATCCTTTCATGTATCTGTCAGCCACCTGGATGTCCTCTTTGGAGAATTGTGTGTTCCTATCTTTTGCTCATTTCTTCCCTGGTTTGTTTGTTTGTTGGGGGTGGAGTTTGGTGAGTTCCTGATAGAGTTTGGATATGAATCCTTGATTTGATATGTCATTGGCAACTATCTTTTCCCTTTCTGTTGGTTGCCTATTAGTTTTGTGGATCGTTTCCTTTGCCGTGCTGAAGCTTTGAATCTTGATGAGGTCCAATCGTTTCTTTTTGCTCTCGATTCCCTTGTTTTGGGGGATGTGTCAAGTAAGAAGTTGCTGCGGAGGAGGTCAAGGAGGTGATTTCCTGTTTTGTCCTCTAGGGTTTGGATGGTTTCCTGTCTCAGGTTCAGATCCTTTATCCACGTTGAGTTTCTTTTCGTGTATGGTGTGAGAAAATGATCTGCTTTCATTCTTCTGCAGGTTGCTGTCCAGTTCTCCCAGAGCCATCTGTTAAAGAGGCTGTCTTTTTGCCATTGGATATGCTTTCCTGCGTTGTCGAAGATTATTTGGCTGTACACCTTTGGGTCCAGCTGTGAGTTCTCATTGCGATTCCATCGGTCTATGTGTCTGTTTTTGTGCTGATACCATACTGTTTTGAGGACGACGGCTTTGAAGTAGAGGCTAAAGTCTGGGATGGTGATACCTCCCGTTTTGGTTTTCTTCTTCAGTATGGCTTTGGCTATTCTGGGTCTTTTGTGGTTCCATACAAATTTTAAGATAGTTTGTTCTAGTTTTGAGAAGGATGCTGGTGCAATTTTGATTGGAGTTGCATTGAATGTGTAGATTGCTTTGGGTAGTAATGACACATGAACTCTATTTATTCTTCCTATCCATGAGCATGGAAGGTTTTTCTATTTGTTTGTGTCTTCTTCAATTTCCTTCCTAAGTTTTCTATAGTTTTCATCATATAGATCTCTTGTATCCTTGGTTAGGTTGATTCCTAGGTTTTCGATGCAATTTGATGATTTTTTGTGCAATTGTGAATGGGATCAGCTTCTGGATTTCTCTTCCTGTGGCTTCATGATTGGTGTATAAAAATGCATCCGATCTCTATACGATGATTTTGTACCCTGCACCTTTGCTGAATTCTTGGATCAGTTCTAGCAGGCTTCTGGTGGAGTCTGTCGGGTTTTCTATGTAGAGTATCATGTCGTCTGCGAAAAGTGAAAGTTTAACTTGCTCTTTGCCAATTCTGACGCCTTTGATTTCCTTTGGTTGTCTGACGGCTGATGCTAGGACTTGCAGCACTATGTTAAACAACAGTGATGAGAGTGGAAATCCCTGCCGTGTTCCTGATCTCAGGAGGAAAGCACTCAGGTGTGGAGGGTGATGTTAGCTGAAAACTTCTCATAGATGGCTTTGATGATGTTTCAGTAGGTTCCTTCTATGTCGACTTTCTCTAGAATCTTTATTAAGAAGAGATGCTGTATTTTTTCAAATGCTTTTTCTGCATCTATCAAAAGGATCCTATGGTTTTTCTCTTTTCTTTTATTGAGGTGATGTATGCCATTGATTGCTTTGCGAGTGTTGAAGCAGCCCTGTAACCCAGGAATGAATCCCACTTGATATTGGTGGATGATTTTTTTTATGTGCTGCTGGATTCGATTTGCAAGGATCTTGTTGAGGCTTTTGGCATCCGTATTCCTCAAGGATATTGGCCTGTACTTCTCTTCTTTGGCTGGATCTCTGTCCGGCTTGGGAATCAGAGTGATCCTGGCTTTATAAAATGAGTCCGGGAATTTTCCTTCGATTTCCATTTTTGGGAATAGCTTGAGAAGAATTGGGATTCATTCTGTTTTCAATGTCTGGTAGAATTCCCCGGGGAAGCCATCAGATCCAGGGCTCTTACTCGCTGGGAGATTTTTGATCACTGATTCGATTTGGTCACTCGTTATGGGTCTGTTCAGATTTTCCATCTCTTCCAGTGTGACGTTTGGTAGTGAGTGTGCGTTTAGGAATGTGTCCATTTCTTCTACGTTGTCCAATTTGTTGGCATAGACTGTTTCATAGTATCCCCTGATAGTTGCTTGTATTTCTGAGGGGTTCGTTGTAATAAGTCCATTTTCATTCATGATATTGTCTCTTTGGTTGCTCTCTCTTTTCTTTTTGAGAAGCCTGGCTAGAGGTTTGTCAATTTGGTTTCTTTTGTCAAAAAACCAACTCTTGGTTTCTTTCCTCGGTTCAATTGTCTCTTGGGTCTCTATGTTGTTTATTTCTGCTCTGATTTTTACTATTTCTCTTCTTCTCCTGGGTTTCGGGCGTCCTTGCTACTCTGCCTCTAGTTCCTTTAGGTGAGCTGTGAGATGTTGGACTTGTGCTTTTTCTAACGCCTTCAAATAGGCCTGGAGTGCCATGTACTTTCCTCTTAGGACTGCCTTTGCCGCATCCCATAGATTTTGGATTGTTGTGTTTTCATTTTCATTTGTTTCCATATATATATTGAATTTCCTCCTCGAATTGCCTGATTGGCCCATTCATTCTTTAGTAGGGTGTTCTTTACCCTCCACGTTTTTGGAGGTTGTCCAGACTTCTTCCTGTGATTGATTTCAAGTTTCAAAGCAATATGATCTGTGAGTGTGCATGGTAGGGTCTCAATTCTTTTCTATTTCTTGAGGGCTGCTGTAGGTCCCAGGATGGGATCTATCTTGGAGAATGTGCCATGTGGACGTGAGAAGAAAGTGAATTTCCTGGCCTCAGAATGTAGAGTTCTAAATATATCTGTCAGATCCATCTGGTTCAATGTGTCTTTCAAGTCCATTGTTCCTTTAGTGACTTTCTGTCTGGTTGACCTCTTTGTTGCTGTAAGCGGAGGAATAAAGCCCCCTGCTATTAGCACCTTTTTATCTAGAAGCTTGTTTGTGTTTGGGATTAAATGTTTTAAGTATTTATGTGCTCCCGTATTCGGAGCATAGACATTCATGATGGTTCTTTCTTCCTGATGGAGAGACCCTGTAATTCTTATGTAGTGCCCTTCTTCATCTCTTGTTATTGAGGTCAATTTAAAGTCCAGTTTGTCTGATGTATGTATAGCTCCTCCAGCTTTCTTTTGATTTCTAGGAGCATGATATATTTTTCTCCATCCCTTTATATTTAATCTGAAGGTATCTTCCAGTCGAAGATGAGTTTCTTGTCGACAGCGTATAGATGGATTTTGTTGTTTTTTTTTTTTCCATTCTGCTACGCTATGTCTTTTGATTGAAGCATTCAGCCCATTTACATTCAGTGTTATTATTGAGATACGTGGGTTTAGAATCTTTGTGTCCTCTGTGGGGTTCATGTTTTTGGTGGTGTCCCTGGTATCTTTCTTTTCTACAACAGTTTTTAGAGCGTCCCCCTCAGGGTACCTTGTAGAGCTGGCTTAGTGGTGACAAATTCTTCCCATTTCTGTTTATTTGGAAAGACTTTTCTCTCTTTCTATTGTCAACGACAGGCTTGCTGGATAGAGGATTCTTGGCTGCAAATGTTTTGTTCATCACATAGAAGATCTCCTGCTATTCCTTTCTGGCCTGCCATGTTGCAGTAGATAGGTCTGTCCCCACTCGGATAGGTTTCCCATTGTGTGTTAGGGCCCTTTGCTCCCTAGCTGCTTTCAAAAGTCTCTTTGTCCTTACATTTTGCCATTTTTCCTTAGGATTTGCTGTGCAGAAGATCGATTCCAATTCTGATT